TTCTGTCTTCCCCTGAAAGCCACCCATGCATTTCTATTGATGAGACCCGCTCTTTGTGTTTGGGTGCTCTTCAGCCATTAGCTGCTTTCTTCCTTTCTGTGGTTGTGCCCTGAACATATTTGAGGTCACCAGGCAGGTGAATGGAGCTGGACAAACAGGGAAATATTATTCACTTGTGTGAAGAAAAACTGGCCACACAATCCTCACAAAGACTCTCTAGAAACACATACTGAATGCCTGACTTTTCCTAATGTCAGCATTTCTACTTTTGGTGTTTAAAAAAAGAAAACTAAAGAGACTACAATTTATTTCTTAGTGAAAGCTTCTCATCTAAACCCTCCTTTTGCTCATGGTGGGGGTGGGGGTAAGGTCTAGAGAGGCTGTGAGGTCTGTTTGGAGGTCAGGCCTGCAGCCAGTCTGTGCTGCCCTAGGCCCCATGCTGGAGCCAGCTCAGGCCACATGCTGCAGTGGCTCAGCCTAAAGGTGACACAGCCACGTCCACACGTTCTCCTCCACATTCTTTATACAGTTGTTACTCATTTAGAAGAGCCTGAGGTTTAAAAACCAACCAGAACTTTCCATTTTAAACACTGAGGTATAAATTTCCCAATAAGAACTGTTTTGCTATAATTAGAAATGGTCTGTAAGCTTAAACCAGGCCCACCCAGCATTTGGTCAGAACAGCTTGGTGTTTGAACATGTTCTTGGCCCATCAGCATCTTTCATACACAGGAATCTGGGAGCACTGGTCTCACACACTGGGAACAAGCCCACTGATACACGGGCTAGTCCTTGAAAAGTTCTGACCCATCTTTGTCCCCACCAGACCTCAGTTGACAGAACTGATTTAGTCTACCAAATACCTGTAGTCTCAGGTAGGCCCATCCTCTGAAGCATACAGGTTCTCCACACCCACAGTTTAGCCCTGCTCCTCACCTCAAGGCTGGCTTCCAGACTGAGCATTTCTCAGATGAAGCTGCACGTCAGTGTCCTTCCTTGATGGTTGAAGTGGTCACAGTGGCTGGGTTTGGGTTTGGAACATAGCGGAACTTGCATCCGACTTTAGCATCAGCCCAGGTATCTGTTTCTGCATCAAAAATTGTGAGAACAGAGAAATGTGTCTTTCAAAAACTGATCCTAGGAACTCAAAGTCTCACTGTGGAGCCTACTTTAATAGTCTCTCTTATATCACCCCCAACCCACAATCCATTCTCACAAGAGCAGACAAAAAGACATGTAACTCTGTCCATGGGGAACACTGTTCAGATCCCTGCAAAACTTTGTTGTGTCAGTGCTTGAAAGTCAAGTCTAAATTAAGCTGTCAGGCCCTGACTGGTATGGCCCAGTGAGTTGGGCATCCTCCCTCAAAGCAAAATATCAACAGTTCGATTCCCAATCAGGGCACTGTGTCATGGGCCAGGTTCCCAGTTGAGTGGTGAGCAAGAGGCAACCAATCGATGTTTCTGTCACATATCAGAGTTTGTTGCTCTCTCTCTCCCTCCTCCCCCTCTCTAAAAGTAAATAAAATCTTTTTTTTTAAAATAGTAAAATAAAAAATCATGGAGTCAGCTCTGATATACAGGATGGGACAAAGTGGATTTATAGTTGTTTGTGTAGAAAACAATAGTACATAAATAAACTGTGTTTCTCATACAACTGTAAACCTACATTTGCCCTACCCTGGATCTACTGTGAATAGTAGGAAGTAGATATTTTTCCAGAATTGTTGCATTACATGGGGGGAAAGCCAACTCTACCTTAGAGTTTGCAAGCCTAGAACTTTGTGAAATTCTATTTCATGTCCCTGTTTTAGAGAGTATACTTTTGACTCTTAAATGGGACCCAGTCTCATCATGAAGCCAACTTGTTACAGAGCCTGCTCCCCAAAACTCCATTTCTCAGGATAGCCAGAACTGTGCATGAGGGGAGATGATCACGTTGATGATAGGCTCTGAGTAGCCGTGCACTATATAGGAGAACCATTTGCCCACAGTTATCAACAGGCAGGCCAGGGTGTTTTGGTGGCAAGTGTGAGGACATACAGTGTAGGAGCCACCCACTGTGACGGAGGCTAGCCCTCAGATATTAGTTTGAAAGGCTTTTAAAATTGAATGCTAATAGTTGTCTTACAGTAAGGAAGCTGGCACACAACACCTCACCTCAGAATCACGTGGGTGAGTCAGCTAGACTCTCTGTCCTAAGGGACACTACACAGCATACCTGACTGGCCTTCTCAAGGACAGACAGGCTGCCTTAGACCTGAGGGAGGCAGGACAGCCAAATCCTGCAGGACCAAACTGGTAAAATCAGAATGAACTTGTCCCGTAACATGTTGAAATTGGGGAGTTGATAATGTGGCAGCTTGGGGACCTTGTGACAGTGGAAAGATCTAGAACAGCAGTGTCATTGAGCACTGAAGGTGGGAATGTGGGTGGCCATGGCCAGGGTACCATGATGCTGTGTGCTGACAAACATCAGGAACATAGACTTTAAGGGAATGTGAGAGACACTTCAAAAGCGTTTCTCACTTCTCTCCAGTCATCTGGATCAGTGTGCCTGTGCTCTGCAAATTGCTCTGTGAAAAAAAGTGGGCGTGGCTTCTAGTCAAGATGGTGACCGTTTTTTTGCATCCTCCCACAACCATATCAAAATTGCAATTGGGTTACAGAACAAATATTCAGAACTGCCTAAAATCTGATTGAATGAAAGTCCTACAACTAGAGAATTAAAGAAACTATTGAGGCTGGTAGGAGGGGTGGAGATGTTGAACAGGCTGGTCCCACACCCAGATGCGGTAGATAAAAATTGGGAGGGATATCTTGGCTTCAAAGGTTCCCCCTAAGGAGCAAGGGGTCCCAGCCCTATACCCAGCCTCCCAGCCCAAGGTTCCAGTGCCACAAAGACAAGTTCCCATAACTTCAGGCTGTAAAAACCAGTGGGGATTGAGGCTGAGGGAGACAGGCTTCTGGAGTTCCAGGTGTTCCTCTTAAAGGACCCATACACAGACTTACTGGGACTTACCCGCTCTGAGCTCCAACACTGGAGTAGTAGCTTGAAAGCCACCAGAGGCACACAGGGAGGGAATGAATTATCTGGCTACAGGGTGAGAACTGGGGGCAGCTTTCTCCCAGACAGAAGTGCTGGCAGAGGCCATCAAAGAGGCCACTCTTTGATGAGTCCTCCACCTACAGAGCTGACCAGTGGGCACAATATCAGAGTCTCCATGAACCTGAGTCACACTGTTTAGCCCGTCCTGATGACTTACTGAGGCCTGACCCAACTTTCAGGCCTACCCAAGCTATTTCCTTGGCTTTTCCATGCCAAAGAATGTTTTGACTCATGCTTCACACTTCCCTAAAATCTCTGAAACAAGCATCATCTGCCTCAGCAAGCCTTGTATATCTCATTAAGTGGTCCAAGGTCTGGCACCAATGCAGCCAGCCTTAGCCTCATCTGGGCACCTCCAAGCCTAGCACAAGAAGCCATCTGCCAGTTGCTTTGTAGCTTATGCTAGGTGGCCCTGGACACAGGCGGTGGCTGACCCTGGATGTGCCAAAAGCAGTCAAGCCTCAACTACAAGAGGAAAGTGTACTCAGCCCACATGCAGTGCACACCTTGAGTACCCAGCTTGGGTGATAGGGGAGGCTGTGCTACTGGAGCCCACAGGACACCTACTACATTAGGCCATGCTACAACACCAGAGAGACATAGCAGGTCCACCTAATACATAGAAAAACACAGAGAGGCTATCAAAATGAGAAGACAACGAAACATGGCCCAAATGAAAACAGAACTCCAGAAAAATACTGAACAAAATGGAGATGAGCAATCTACTAGATGCAGCATTCAAAACACTGGTTATATGGATGATCAAGAAAGTGAATGAGGACCTCAACAACATAAAAAAGACCCAGTCAAAAATAAAGCTTAAACTAATTGGAATAAAGAACAATTTACAGGGAATCAATAGTAGAGTGAATGAGGCTGAGAATCAAATCAGTGATTTGGGATATAAGTAAGCAAAAAACACCCACTCAGAATAGCTAGAAGAAAAAAAGAATCCAAAAAAAATATCAGTTGCCCCTTTGGGACAACTTCATGTGTACCAGCATTTGCATCATGGGGGAGCCAGAAGGAGAAGAGAGAAAGAAATTGACAACCTATTTGAAAAAATAATGACAGAAAGCTTCCCTACCTTGGTGAAGGAAATAGACATACAAGCCCAAGAAGGGCAGAGAGTCTTAAACAAGATGAACACAAAGAGGCCCATCAAGACACATCATAATCAAATGCCAGAGGTTGAAGACAAAGAATGAATCTCAAAGGCAGCAAGAGGAAAAGCAATTAGTTACCTACAAGGGAGCTCCCATAAGACTCAGCTGATTTCTCCAAACTAACTTTGCAGGCTAGAAGGGACTGACAAGAAATATTCAAAATGGTGAAAAACAAAGATCTGCCCAACCCAAGATTACCCAACAAAGCTATCATTTAGAATTGAAGGGCATATAAAGAGCTATTCATAGAAGGAAAAGCTAAAGGAGTTCATCACCACCAAACCAGTATATGAAATATTAAAGGGTCTTCTTTAAGAAGCTAAAAAATATGAACCATAAAATGGCAATAAATACGTATCAACAATTGAATCTGAAAAACAAAACAAACAGAGCAGAACAGAAAGAGACTTATAGATACAGAAAACATTTTGACAGTTGCTAAGTGGGAGGGGAATTGGGAGTGACAAAGGTAAAGGGACTAAGAATTACAAACTGGCTATTACAGAAAGTCATGGGGATATAAAGTACAGCATAGGGACAGTCAATAATATTCTAATAACTGTGTATGGTGTCAGATGGGTATGAGATTTTTCTGTTGATCACTTAGTAAGTTATATAATGTCTAATCACTGGGGTGTACACCTGAAACTAGTATGATATTGTTGTCAACCCTAGTTGAAAAACAAAGAATGATTTAAAAGATAATAAGTTTTCTTCTCTCCACAGGAAAAGTACCCAGAGGCTGTGCACCTCTTGGAGGGGGCCTCCTCCAGCTACATGGGGATCCAAAGTACCAGCCAGCCAGGGTGAGTGCAAGTGCCCCATGGCATCCTGGACCTCCCTTGCTGGCCAAGTCCCTTCCCAGCAATAGGATGGTGATTTCTTTTTAAAACAAGGATTATAATTAGTAGAGGACAAATATAAACTCCATGACATGTTGAGAAATGTCTGTTGAACCAGAACAGATATGCAAGTGAAAGTGAGACAATAGGAAGGGGGCCTTGCTGGGTGAGGGAGGAGTGGAATGTAGGGACAGTAAATGTCTGCACAGCTGTGGGTGAGCAAAAGTCCAAAGGTGCTGGTCTCACTTCAGGGGCCCGTAGGAGACCAAGGAGGGGAGGCCTGGAAGTGATGGAGCTGTTTTCAACTTATTTCAGAAAAGTTCAGGAAACAGCAAGTGCTGAGGGAGGGATGGGATCTATTCTCTACTGTCACGGACACCCGTGAATGTGTATATAAATGTACTTTGATAAGTTGCACAGGAGTGCCTACAGATGTTTGGTTTGTTTTCAAGCCTTAAACTAGTGTCATAATTATGTAGGCTTCTGGAACTTGCCTTTTAGTAATAAAACATTTCCAAAATTCACCTCTGGTGGCACCTATAGCTGTAGACCATTCATTTTCAGTGCTAATACTCTACTAGGGGTGTGTGTGTGTGTGTGTGTAGTATATATATATTTCTGTAATCTTCAGGTGTTGAGCATTTGGGTTATTTATCAACAAGCTTCTCTTGGGCATATACCTAGAAATGCAATTCCTGAGTCATAGGGTAGATTCAGCTTTCTGTTGCTGCCAAATTCTGTGCTAAGTAGTTTATCAATTTATATTTCCCATAGGAAATTTTAAGTTCCTGTTACTCTACATCATGTACTTCACTTGTACTGTCACACTAAAAATTAGTAGGTCTTTGTTTCCATGTTTCTGTTTGTTCATGATGATGAACATGTGTTCATGACTAGCCAACCATACCTACTCTTCATCAGTGGGTGTATGTCTTTAGGAACAGGGAGAGCTGAGCACAGGCCCAGGATGGTTGGAGGAGAACAGAGCTCCTGCCTGGGTGGGTGTCCTCTTTCCACTGCAGAAAGTTCATTTTTTTTGAGAGAGAGATGATTTGTTCCACATATTTACGTATCCATCAGCTGATTCTTTTTTAAAATTATATTTTATTGATTGTGCTATTACAGTTGTCCCAGTTTTTTCCCCATTGCCCCCTCTACCTAGAACCTCCCCCCGCCCAGGCAATCCCTACACCTTTGTTCATTTCCATGGGTCATGCATGTAAGTTCTTTGGCTTCTCCATTTCATTCATAATATCTTTCCCCTGCCTAGAACAGCTGCATTTATTTATACAAATATATATACAGTTAAAGTATAATTGTCTCCATTTTCCCCCACACAACTTCCCACCCCACCCATCCCCACACCCTACCCATCCCCACATCCCACCCTTGATCTTACCTGCCTTTGGCTTTGTCCATGTGTCCTTTATACATGTTCCTGGACAACTCTCCCTCCTTATCCCCCTCCCCCCTGATTACTGTCATTTTGTTCTTTATTTCCTTGTCTCTGGTTCTATTTTGTACTTTACGTCACCATGACTATTCTCTAACTACCAACTTGTGCTTTTTAGTCCTTTCACCTTTTCACCTATTCCCTCAATCACTCAACCCATCTGGCTGCCATCAACTGTGGCGGACTCCAGCCAGCAGAGTTCCACCTTGTTGTGGCTGGAGATGAGAATAAATGCACAGATGACAGCAATCCTGTGGAGAAAAAGGGAACAGCACGGCTACTCTCTCAAGGGGAGAGTGTCTATGAATGTCTCGAGCACTCTTTCAAAAGGAGAGCGCCCTGACCCTTGCCTAGACAGGCCTTATTGTTTTTCTCGGGTCTTACATCAGAGAAAGATTTATTATCTATTACATGGAATATTGTTGTCTACATTTTAGGTACAATCAAGAAAATGAAAATAACATGCAGAGAGGAATGGCAGTGAGCTGATTAGCTCTGTCCTTGGGTGAATTCACACAGGCTTTGGAAATTACCTTGAAGATAGACAATACACATTTGTTGTTTTAGACCAGGGTGATGGAGTTTTAGCAAGAGCAAGCCATAACAGTCTGTATGCATTTTCTAGGCCTGATTCCCACGGGAAAACTTGGTTTGAAGGTCTGGCTCCTGCCCACCACTTCACTTCTGTAGGTTTTCCATACAGATCTGAGTCACATTTGCCAGACTAAAACAAACAAGTTCTCTACAATCAACCCATTCTCTGTGTCTAGGATTGTTTCTGTTTTACTTGTTTGGCCTTTAGATTCAATTGTTGACAGATATGTATTTATTGCTATTATATTGTTCATAGTTTTGATCATCTTCTTCTTAAAAAAGATCCTTTAACATTTCATATATTACTGCTTTGGTGATGATGAACTCCTTTAGGTTTTTCTTGTCTGGGAAGCTATCTGCCCTTGGATTCTAAGTGATAGCTTTGCTGGGTAGAGTAGTCCTGGGTATGGGTCCTTGCTTTTCATCACTTTGACTATTCCTTGCCAATCCCTTCTAGCCTGCAAAGTTTCTTTTGAGAAATCAGCTGACAGTCTTACGGGAACTCCCTTGTAGGGTACTACCTGCTTTTCTATTGCTGCTTTTGAGATTCTGTCTTTAACCTTTGGCATTTTGACTATGATGTGTCTTGGTGTGGGCCTCTGTGTCATCTTGTTTGGGACTCTCTGTGCTTCCTGGACTTTGTCTGTTTCTTTCACCAAGGTAGGGAGTTTTCTGTCATTTTTTCAAATAGAGTTCTAATTTTTAACTCTTTGTCTTCTCCAGGCACCCCCATGATGCCAATGTTGGTACACTTGATGTTGTCCCAAAGATTATTCCTTATACTATCTTTGGTTTGGTTTGGTTTTTGTTTGTTTGTTTTCATTCTTTTCCTTCTTGCTGTTCCAGTTAGTTTTTTGCTTCCTTATGTTTCAAATCATTGATTTGGTTCTCGGCTTCATTGACTCTACTGTTGATTCCCTGTAAATTGTTCTTTATTTCAATTAGTGTATCCTTTGTTTCTCACTGGGTCTTTTTTATGCTGCTGAGGTCCTCACTAAGTTCCTTGAGCATCTTTATAACCAGTGTTTTGAATTCTGCATCTGATTGATTGCTTATCTGCATTTTGTTTAGCTCTTTAGATTTCTAGAGTTTTGATCTGTTCTTTCACTTGGGCCATGTTTGTCTCCTCATTTTGACAGCCTCTCTGTGTTTTTCTGTGTATTAGGTAGAGCTTCAATGTCTCTCTGGTGTGGTAGCATGGCCTAATGTAGTAGGTGTCCTGTGGGCTCCAGTGGCAAAGCCTCCCCTATCACCCAAGCTGGGTACTCGAGGTGTGCACTACATGTGGGCTGAGTACACTGTCCTCTTGTAGTTGAGCCTTGGTTGCTGGTGGCAAGTCAAGGGAAGGGACTTACCCAGGCCAGGCAGCTGCAAGGGCTGGTTGTGACCAGTGACCACCAACCTCTGCCCTCCATGGAGGATCAGCTGCGCAGCAGCCCAGTCCACAGAACAGGGCTTAGTTCAGCACGGCCCTGGTATACACTTGTGTTCTGTCTGGGGTCAGTTGGCATAAGCTATAAAGCAATCCACAGCTGGCTACTTCTTGTGCCCTAGTGAGGGCTGGCTATGAACCAAGGCCAGCTGCTGCTGTGCCAGGCCTGAGGCCACTTAGGAAGGTAGAGGGTCTGCCCAAGGCCAGCTGCTGCTTACTTGAGGATTTATGAAGATCAGAAGCATGTGCAAGACAAGTCATTTTTATGGAAAAGGTATCGTTAACCATTTTGAGTTTGGTGGGACAGAGTATCAGAGCATCACCAGGGTGGGACAAGCAGTGTTAGCCAGGTTGATAGAGTCCTACATATGGTGCTGCTGCACTCTGTGGTTCTGTCAGGGAAAGGCTCAGAAGAGGAACCATGGCCTCTGACAGCAGTTTTTCTTGGGGAAAGCTGTCCCCCAGCTCTCACCATGATTCCAAACACTTCTGTTTCTCCCCATATGCCCCTGGTACCTTTCAAGCTGCTTCCCCAGTGCTTGATTAATTCAGTGGGAGTGAGTCTCACTAAGTCCATGTGCAGGCCCTTTAGGAGGAACTGGCTGAGAACCCAGCAGTTTCTTCCCCTGACTCAATCTCTACTGGTTTTTACAGCCAGAAGGCATAGGGACTTATCTTCCCAGCACTGGAACCGTGGGCCTGGGGGCCTACTGTGGGCTTAGGACCCGTAGCTCCCGAGATATCCTTCCTGCTTTTTTATCTGCCAAAGTGGGTGTAGGAGCAGCCTGTTCCATGTCTGTGTATCTTTACTCCTCCTATCAGGCAGGATGGATGGATGTGGTTTCTTGAATTCAGTGGTTGCAGGACCTCCATTTACTCAATTTCTGCTGGTTCTGAGTGATGGTTGTTCTATAGTTTAATTGTAATTTTAATGTGGTGGTGCAGGAGGTGAGCTGTGTTTACCCAGGCCACCTTCTTGGAGGTGCCTGAATGGGGCCAGAACACAGAAGGGTGTCTGTCACACTGTAGTCAAAGATGTGGGCTTAAAGTCAGGAAGGGGAAGGGGAAAAAAAGGATGTCAGTCAACTTCTATTGATCCACATGGCTTTAAGAACTCTTGTCCTCACACGTGGAACCACCTATTGGAAGCTTCTTGGGAGAAATCACAGCCCCTGGGTCTGGGAAGACAGTGGCACCACCAGCTTCTACATCTCTGATCAGCCCTGTAAGCACCCTCCTCTCAGATCCTCACAGTCCCCACCCCATCTTGCCAAGCTGGTCTTCAGGGTCTGCTCCAACCAGAAAGGCCTGAATAGGAGGGGCCAGCCACAAGCCCTATGCTAGAGCAGCCACAGCAACTGTCTCACCCGTATAGCCCTCAGTCAGTCCCAGCCAGTATCCCATTGGTTGCTTCTTGTATGTGCTCTGACCAGGGATTCAACCCACAACCTTGGTGCATCAGGACTATGCTCCAACCAACTGAGCCACCAGGCAAGGGGTAGAGTTCACTCTTTTAACTAGGTTTTACAGGCACCTAGTGATGGATCTTACCTCTTTCAGGTTTGAATTAGTCATTGTTTGGAGGATACAAATAGATGAAGAAGGGAAGGTTTTACCAAAGCTGGATCTTCTCACTAAAGTGCCGCAGCAAGGTATGGAAGGGTCCCGTGAGGGTGTTCTGGTGACTTCTTAATGTGCCCAACATAGATACCTACCTACTTATTTCATCTGATTTTACATGGCAATCAGAAATTGAAAGTCTCATTATTGTGTTTTTACATCAGTTTTTAAAATGCTTTTGTCAAAGTAATCAGTCAAAAAGCACATGCAGGGTGACTGTTCCCCCAAGGCTCTCCTGGGCTGAGTACACAAGGGGGAGGGTTTCTGTCTCTGCCTCTAGCACGCAGTGAGTGCTACATTCACAGCCATGACATAGGTTGGCCAACTGGGGAGGAGGGAAGGGTCTAGATGAAGTTTCTTACCCAGTTTTTTTTTCTTTACAGCCCTGGAGTTGGACAAGAAGGGAGTAATAGAAACTGCTCCTTTCAGCTTCCGAACCCTGCTGGGCGTGCTAGGCATTGAAGTGGCTGTAGAAAGCCTAATAAGATCACTTTGCATAGAGGAAAACCACTAGTTCCCAAATAGTAACACCTAGGAGTCAGATGCTACACCAGGGAGCATGGAGTTTTTATTGAATATAAACATTTGCTGTTTTCCACTTAGAACGTGTTTGTGCAGTTATGACACATTATATATAAACTGTCAGGACATGAAAAAAATAAATACAGCTACTTAAATAAAAACTGGCAAACACTGATCTGTGGGGAGCAGCTGTGCACCCCTCCCACACCCAGTCTGAGGGCAGAAGCAGGCACCCACCACCTGGGGCTCTTAAAGCATCATTGCTTAGACATTCCCAAGATACCCTGGGAAAGGTGCACCGCCCTCCCCACCTCCCTGCTGTGGAAAGCAGCACTCGGAGGCATTTACAGCGCCTCTCAGCAAGTCCTCTGACATTCTCTCCACTTGGTTATCCACAAAAAAGGGGAGCATGAGATTAAAAACTTCAATAAGACAGCAAAGATTGCACTGTCCCTTCACACGAGATCTTAGTACCCATTCCTCCACATAGAAGAAACCGGGTTTTCATTTAAGTCCCCCAGAGTCTAAGTGCTGCACTGACCCCAGTCACCCATTTAAAATGTTAGAATTAGTGAAAACATTGTTTCAATCAAATGAACACCACAGGTAAGAAGAGGCTATGGTGGAGTGAATAGAGCAAAGGGTTGCACAAAGTCCTCCTAGCAGGGGCTGTCCATCTGTATCCTCTTCCCCTGAGTTTCAGACTGCCCAGGACAGGCCACCAGGAGACTGCCCAGTTCACTTCCTCAAGGGGCTAGGGTTCCTGAGCTCCATGCATAGGGACCCAGGGTTCTATGCACATGGTGATGCCAGGTAAGACTGTGTGTCATGATCATGTCCCACCTACCCCTCCCCTGTCCCATGCCAGCAACAAGGGAGAACCTCCAGGCAAAAACCACACGACCACTGCTTCTCTCCCCACACCCTGTGACTTGCATGAGAACACAGTTCCACTCGTGTCCCCGTAGGTGGAGTCTCCAAAGCCTCTGGACCCCAACACACTGACATAGATGAGAGACATATGTCATTTGAGTATCTTTTTAACCCTCAGTATAGAAGTAAGAAGTAAATGTTAGGAAAGAATTAAAGAATAAATTCTAGAAAAACAGGCTTAATTCAAACAAGTGTAATTCTCAAGTGATCAGAAAATGTCCCCCACAAAAATTTACAATCAGCAAAATATTCTTATTTTCATATAATTCCATGGTTTCACTATTATATTACAATAAACCTTCATTAATCCCTCAAACTGATATAAATAATAAATCTGTACAACCCACCATAGAATAAAAAACTGAAGCCCAAGATTCCCAACAATTTTCATAGCAGCGAGGCACACTTTTGGTGAATCATCACAAACCCTCTTGGTGCCAGCCAGGAGATGCCTATCTTGTATAAGCAGGGCCTTGGGCAGACCTGACCAGAAGTGGCCCAGCACACCACTCGAGGCTGCAAACAGCACATGTCTCTATGAAACCCAAGGAAAAAACAGGTACAGGGAGGAGGAGAACTCAAGACTGGCTCTGGCAGCATTGGTTGAGGTTCCCCAAACCCCGCAAAATGCCATGAACACAGAGCTGGGAGGAACAGAGCTGCCCCAGGTTTAGCAGCTCAGTGTTGCAGCTCTGCTTCCAGCTTCCACAGCAGCAACTTCAGGTGAGAAAGAATGCCTTGTCTCCCCTAAAGTTAAGGACAAAGTCATTCAGGAAAGAAATCATGAAAGTCAGTACTTGCATGAGTGGTGTTGCCCCTGACCTGAGTCCCACAGTCCTTGCTGATCCTGCACAGAACAATGGAGGTGGCACCTCCACAGGAACCCTGAGTCCACACTGCTTAGAACTGACATCTGCACCAAGAAGACATCACTCTGCAGCAGGGAACCACTAAACCTGTGATGATGTGTGGCTTGCATTAAAAAGTGCCCAAGAAACTCAGTTGGGAAAGTTCCAGTAGTATCCCTGTTTTCTTAAGAGTTTCTTAAAAGTCCAAATTGTAAGATATATATCACAATTCAAGTTTTCTGTTAGGAGTCTTGTAGAAGATCCAAACCTCAGGTCTTAAGGCTTTTTTCATTGGAGATTACACATGACCTTTCACTGGAAAAGACAAACTGTCCAGAGGGGTGTCTGGGACAGAGAATGCCACCGGTCTCACATTTGACATTCCCTGTCCAGGAGGATGTTTCTTCCATTCTGTGTCTGGCAGAAGCAGTCCCACCTGAACAACGGCTAGAAAACAAAACCATTTACAGCCAAAGTCACCCAACATAAGAAAAGAGATCTATTGTTCAACCTTCACATTTTATGTTCAAGTTTCAATGACCACAGGAAAAAAGTTAGACTTTATGGAGAACTAATGTACAATCTTCACTTTCCTTAAACCTAGGCGACATCATGGTGGTGTCTTTGGCATGTACAGTCTTTGAGTAGTAGTTGACTATCTTGCCATCCAGTATGTACTGATGAGGGATGCTCTCGTAGGGTTTAAGGTCAAGGTCCAGTACAGACACAGAGAAGGCAAACCTGGATCTTGATGAAGGGACGATGGGCCTTTGATCAGAGCTGAAAGTAAAAAAAAAAAAAAAGATTCAGCCTTCCCAAATCCTCTCATTCTAGCTCACAAGTAGCGCTCATTCTGTACATCTGTGTGCATCTAATCTCTCTCTCCCTTGTGCACCAGTGTTTAAAGTTTCTGCCAAACAGGCGCCTGCTCTGAAACCCACCACCACAACAGGTGAGAGGGTTAGAGTGCAGAAAGATGAAAAACCAGTTACTTCAGATACTTATGACATTCCTCATATCCCAGAGGTAAAAGTGAATGCTGGAAAAGATACTGCATACTCAGGGTCAAGTATTACAAAACTTAAGGAAAAGTAGAAAGTTGATCTGGCCATTTAACAGCCAAATGGATAAAATGTTGAGAACAGACTTCGCATACACACTTCCCACATGTCTGGTTTCATGTTTTATTCTCAAATCACATCTGCAGTGTTTTGTATTTTGTTTCTTGGGGCTTGCTTGTGTGGTTTTTCTAAATATCAGAAGAATCATATGCTTATAACAACATAGAAACAATTACTTGTACTTAAAAACACTGAGACTAATTCTGAATTTTGTGCTAAGACTGTCAGCATGCTCAGTGCACAGTCTGGGTCCAGGTGACTGGTCACATGCACTGGATGAGCTCAGTGTGGCTGAAGGGAAGTAGTCAGGAGTCCTTGTTTCCCCATGCTTAACTACTATTTAGAAATCACCAAAAAAAAAAAAAGTTAAACAAAACACCAATTTCAAAAGCTTCTGCCTGGGAGAAGGAAGGCTAATGGACATGTTCCTGTACTGATGATTCTAATGAAGGCCTAGACTCTAACTTGATTCCTGCTCTGAAATACAGCCAAGAAAAACAAACCAAGGCTCAGCAGCTGGGTTTCTAGCCAGTCCCTTCTGAACAGCAGAGAACACATCTGCAAATTAAGGTCTGTCTTCAAAGTCTCCTCTCAGGGCCTAACACCCAAGCTCAGCTCAGCTGGGCTTCAGATAGTCCATGTCTCCAGCCCTCACAGGGCTACACATGTTAAAGGACACCTCAGTTTCTCACGTTAGAACTACCCAGCACCCAACGCGATGATGTGAATCCATCACACAACAGCTGGTGGGAGCGTGGCCAGAGAGCCACCCCTACAAAAAGTCTGTGAACCAGAAGCTCCCCATGAGCCCAGTGTGTGACCCCTGACATCTAAATTCTGTGCCACCCTGGGGCTGAGACTGTGCCCATGTGTTTCAGAACTTCCTGGACTCATGTCCTGGCTCCTATTCCTATGTGTCAGTTTTTTTTTTTTTAGGGTATCGGGGCCCTTGGGCCTTAGCCCCTAACATTTCTGTATCCCAGCTGCATCCTTGCTTCAGGCAGGGTGGCAGATCGTAACATCTGTGTGGTTTTCTCTCATCCAACATCACTAGCTTAATGCAGCAAATGGATTCCTCATAACTAAGCACTGGGGGCATTTTGGGGAGGGGGATAACAGGAATTTTCAACTAAGTAGAACATTTTTCCTTTATTTCATTTGTACCCTATAAATGTCCCTCCATGTTTCCTATCAGAAAATAGACAATTCTATGCCTTCCAAGGCAGTAGGACTCCTAGAAATGTTTAGTTCAAAAGCAGAAAAATGAGAGGCTAGAAGCCAATAACAAGTTCACCCTGACCCAAGAACATTTGTCAGAAGAATACAGAACATTCCATAAATACTATGTGTGGGGTTTTGCACCCTGAAGATCAATGTTAAAGGTGCCATCTATTTACTAAGAGAATGTTATCGGGTTCACCCTGAATTCCTAAAAAAAGATGGTTGACAATATGGTGTCCAGGGAGAGACGCTGCAAACAGGCAGCAGAACAATGCATGTATTGTTTTAAAGGCTTCAAAATGACTCTGAAGGTGGACATTTCAGGGCGTGGTAGAGGCAGAGGAACAGGTCCATGGGAACCTACAGCTTCTCAGGCCTCAGAGTCTTGACAGGAGCTTGGGGCTTTCTTTGAAAGAAAAGAATCTGCACCCTGGCTGGTGAGGCTCAGTGGACTGAATGCTGGCCTGTGAATCAAAGGGATGCTGGTTCAATTCCCAGTCAATACACATGCCTGGGTTCCAAGCCAGGTCCCCAGTAGGGGGCGTGTGAGAGGTAACCACACATTGATGTTTCTCTCCTTCTTTCTCCCTCCCTTCCTCTCTCTAAAAATAAGAGGAAGAAAGGAAAGGAAAGGAGAGGAAGGAAGGAATTGCACCACACCATCCAAACTGCTTCTAAGTCCTTAGGTTATTTTCTTAGAAAATAATGGTAATCTTCAATTTAATAGAACCATCTTAAAATTATTCTCCATAAGTGTCTTTTTGACTGAATTACAACTTTCTAGATAACAAGAATTAGTACACAGCATGATACCAAGCAGGCCTTGGAGATCAGCCTCTAAATAAATGTGATCCCACCTGGGGCTTTGTAAATATGGAGAAACCTACTCTTGTCAATCCAGAAAGATTTGGTCTAAAATCCTGTTAGACCAAAGACATGTGATGCAGGCCATGGGCACCTCACCTTTCATCCTGAAGACAAGGGGAGAGTGAGATCATGATGGAGCAATCCTTTGCTGTCATGGCAACCCGGTACTGCTGAACCTGTAGGGGAAGGAGAGGTCAGCCCTAGGCACCATGCCACCACATGTACACTTCCTCCCAGCGAAGCCTGGAAACCAGTCACAGAACCTGGGGGTGGGGTAGAAAGCTGTAAGTCAGAAAGGTTCCTAAGAGACGAGCCTCTCCTCTGGCTTCTTACTGCTAGCAATGTGTGGACCCTGATTCCAAACCCCGGGATTTGTCTTCAGCAAGGCAACTGCAGTCTGCCTCAGCAGAAAGAGTGGAAAGTTGCCTCAGCAACCACTAGGCTGGCCATACTGAAAGGGTTGAGCAAACACCAAACCTCAAGACGATGGCGCAGACATCCACCAAGATCTGTTTAGAACAGCAGTCCCCACACTTTTTGGCACGAGGGACTGGTTTTGTGGAAGACAGTTTTCCCATGGATGCCCCTGGGGATAGGGGTGGGGAAGGAGACAGAAGGCAGAGCTCAGAGACGCTTGCTGCTCTCCCACCTGCTGTGCGCCCCAGTTTCTAACAGACAGCTCAGCGGGTTGGGCATTCCTGGTTTAGAACAACAAGACGTACCTCAGGTTGTATCACACCCCAGAATGTCATGCAGCCACCTAGAATGATGCTACAGGCTGTGGAGTCACCAAACTGCATGTTCAGTCAATTCATCCCCACAAGACCTCACAGGCAGGCACTGCTAGTATCCTAGTTTATGGATGAGTAAACTGAGACACAGAACCACCTATCCTGTCTGCACTTCTGGGTGGTGACAGGGCTGGACTCAAACGCAAGGGTCTTGGCTCTGAAGTTCTTGCTCTTACCCTGGGGCTACAAGCATGTGTAGATCTGCACCTGCTGGCCTGGAATGGCTTCCACCAGGGCTGCCAACTCAAGCAACATACAGCATGGTTTGCAGGATCTTACTGGTAAAGCTGTATGTATGCTTACATGTGTTTTACAGACACAGACAGATCCTAAAAGATGGTCACCTCTGTATGGAATCCAGGGCATTCTTTCCCTTCTTCTTTGAACTTTCCTATATCATTTCAGTTTTTTCTAGATTGAATAACTCTCTTTTATAAAAAATAAATGAGTTACAAAAAAGAAAGTGAGCCTTACACTTTATCACTGGTCTCAACATTTGTGTGATGACAGATCATACCCTGTCTCTCCCTTTTAGTCATTTCCATCTGTGTCACTCAGCCAGGAGGACCCACCCCAAGAAAACACCCAAGCTTTACTTTCCCCAAGACATGGATGACTGTATGGAAGGAATGGGGAGAACCCCAAGTACAAGTTATCTCAGGCCTACTGACTGCTCTTTTTTTTTTTTAAATTTTAGAGACAGAGAATGGGAAACATTGATCTCCTGTTCTACCCATGTACACATTTGTTGGCTGGTTCTTTTTTAAAAATATTTTTAAAATTTATTTTTAGAGGGGAAGGGTGGGAGAAAGAAGAGGAGAGAAACATCAATGTGTGGTTGCCTGTCACACACCCCCTGTCAGAGACCTGACCTAGCCCGCAACGCAAGCATGTGCCCTGACTGGGAATCAAACTAGAAACCCTTTGGTTCACGGGCCAGCACTCAATCCACTGAGCCACACCAGCCAGGGTCATTGGTTGGTTCTTAATATGTGCCCTAACTGGGGATCAAACCTACAACCTTGGCATATCAGGATGACACTCTAACCAACTAAGATACCTGGCCAAAGCTTTGGCTGCTCTTCTTCAGGTGTGAAAAAACCTTTACAGGTAGAAGGAAGCAGGAGCTCCTCTCCTTATACTGTTCACTTAGCTAAGAAATCAGATATTTCACAAAACACATAAAAAACAGTCCAAAGAATTAAAGAGATAAATATAAAAAAAGCATATAAAATATTTATTATGTCCTAATCTGCAAGACAAAACCCAGAAGCCATAAAAGACTAAAAGATTTGAATATCTAAAAATTAAAATATTTCATATAACACAGTCATAATTGAAATATAAAAGACCTGTGAAAGAATGAGAGCAAATTATCTGCAACATATAAGGGATGATCAACATCAAGAATAAAGTGTTAATATGGGAAAAGAAAAGTACTCTAAAAAGATATGGAGCAAATAAATTAAAATAGCCAATAAATATATGAAAATTTGCTCAACCTTATAAGGAAATGCAAATTATAATAGTGAAATATGTCCACTCATCAGATGGATGAAACAATAAATATATGTGTTTATCAGACACAGAATGAAAGGGTGAGACTTACACTTCAAGTGATGCTGGACTATGTAACAGGGGCCAATCCAACGCTGAGGTCAACTAGAAAAAGCTGGACAGAATATCGAAAACATCTGCGCAAAGACGGAGTAACAAGACCAAGGAGAATTTCTGGACCAGGAGCAAGACAAAGACATTTGGGTCTTTTTTGCCTAGGAAAGGGAAGGGGTGGGTATGCAACAGTTTTGGAAGGTTGGCCAAGAGGCACTTTAAAAGTGCAACATCCAGGGCTATGGAGACAGTAACCATGATGAACTCTGGGTTAGTAACCAAAATGCTGCATATCTTAAGAATGAGTAAGCCTGAAGTTGACGGGACTTACCAGGAACTGCAGCTTTGCTTCAATGAGCTCAGTCACCAAAACTGGATTAATATGACCCTAGCTAGCCAATGTATACTAGGCCTCTGGCCAAAGCAAACTTAAAATTCTCTCTGGAAGAAGATAACATCCTAGGGCTGAAATTATTTCTCAAATAATTATACAGATAAAATTTCTGACACACAAGCAAAAAAATCCAAGTATAAAACAAGACGATGTGAATGAAAAAAAAACCCACAACAGTGGAAGGACAAATGTGGACTCTAGCTATTAGAAGTACTAGACACATGTGCTGCTCTGCTCAAAGAATAAAAGACAAAATGGAGAACTTCAAAGAAGAACTGGAGACTATAAAAGTGTACTGTTTGGAAATTCCAGAACTAAAAACTATAAAAGTCAGTATTAAGAATTCAACAGGTTGTTATGGAACAGTCGGGGATGTAAAGTAGAGCACATGAAATACAAGGTACAGTCAATAATATTCTAATAACTATGTATGGTGTCAGGTGGGTACAACAGTTATCAGGATGATCACTAGTAAGTTATATAATGTCTAATCACTGGGGCATACACCTGAAACTAATATAATGTATATATCAACTGCGACAGAAAAATTTTTTAATGATTTTGTTAAGAATTCAACAGATAACTTTAATGGCATATGAGAAAATACTGAAGAGACTCACTAAACTGGAAGATAAGTATGTACATATATTTATACATATATCCATAATGAAGCATGGAAAGGAAAACAGCTGGAAAATATTGAGGAAAGGGCATGAGACAGAGATAAAAGAGAAAGTGTTTAATATCCATGTAATTGGAAGAAGAGAAGGTATGGTAGAAACAAAATTTGGAAAACTTAAGGCCAAAAATATTCCAAAACTGAGAAAAGACATCAAGCCACAGATTTAAAAATGACTTAATATATATCATCAAACAGGAACTAAGAACAAATCACCAGCAGACCTACACTATGGGAATATGAAATGGTATTCTTTATTCATCAAAGAAACCAAAATGATTCCAGATATAAGCTCAGAAATGCAGGGCAGCATGAAGGGCAATGCAAGAGAAAATATGTGGGTAAATGGACACTGACAGTATAAGACATACATAGCAACAATAGCAACATAAGTTAGTAATAGTAAAATGTGCTCTAAGAACTTTGCATTGTCAAGAAGAGAATAAAGAAACTATATACTAGACCTTAATAAGTCTATTGCTTGCTGCAATCACTAGAATAAAACACTCATTAACTTCCAAAAAAACAGTAGGGAAACGGCATGATTAAAAAAAAAAATCAACCCAAAAGACAAGAGAGAAAAAGAAACCTAAAACAAGAGGGAAAAAATTAAAAGATTTAAACCCAAGAATAACTCCCATTAATTGATAAAGACATGATGTCAGAATGGATAGACAAGCAAACCATATCATAAATACAAAGAAAGATTAAAAATGAAAGAATAGAAAAAAAAATACACAGGTGCAAGTTTTAACCAAAAGCATCTAGAGAAGTTACACAAATATAAGACAAAGGAAATTTTAAGCAAGTACTACTGGAGATAAAGATATAGAAAATGACAAATGACACTTGAAAATGAGAAATGCAATTTACCAGGAAGATGTAACAATTCAAAATGTAAAGCACCTAAAAATAAAGCCTCAAAATAAATAAACAAAAAAATCCATAATTATTATGCAAAGTTTCAAAACATCCTCCTTAGGGAACAGGCAAAACAGTAAAATCAGTAAGGTTATACACAATCTGAACAACATAATTTGGCAAACTAATTAATGGGCAAATACAACACTGTATCCAACAATTTAAGAAGACAACTTCTTTTCAAGTATACACAGAAGCATTTTAAAAAAAAAGAATAAAGCAAGTCACAACAAATTTCAAAGTATAAAAAGCCAATTTCAACAAATTTCAAAGGACCATATAGAATATATTCTCCAACTATAATGGAATTTTGCTAGTAATCAATGTGAAAAAGATAATTAGAATCCCCATGTTTGGCATTAATTTGTCTTCTAAACCACTTCCAAGGGTCAAAGGAGAATCTTGATACCAGTCAGACTATTTTTACTGAATGACATTGAAAATCCTGCTTGTGCAATACAACTAAAGTCATGTTTACAGAAAAATACAGGGGTGGGCAAAAGTAGATTTACAGTTTTAAATACACAAAATAGAGTTTATTCTTGTATTATTTAATTATAGCACTATTTTCCAATTGTAGACCTACTTTTGCCTACCCTGTATATAGCTTTAACTATATTAGTTTAGAAAAAAGTCAGCCTAAACTTAATTAGGTAAGCATTTATCTGGAAGAAGTTATAGAAAGAACAAATCATCCAAAGAAACTTTTAAAAAGGAAATAAGACCAGAAACTAAAGAAATGGAAAATCATACAGCATGAAAGGAACAGAAATTAGTTTT